CCACCACTCCTACTCTTCTCAGCATCAACATGTCCAACATCACAAAGCTCACTGCTTCTAACTTCATCATGTGGAGCCGACAGATCCAAGCTTTGCTTGATGGTTACGACTTGGTCGGCTACCTTGACGGATCGGTTCTCGTCCCCTCTCCTACAGTCACTAACAATGGTGTTGTGGCTCCAAATCCTGACTTCTCGCTGTGGAAACGTCAGGACAGGCTGCTGTTTAGTGCTCTCCTTGGCACAATCGGCTCTGCAGTTCAGCCTCTACTCTCCAAAGCAACCACGACCAATCAGATTTGGTCCACACTACATGATATTTATGCAGCTCCGAGTCGTGGCCACGTTCGCCAGATTAAGCTGCAGATCCAAGCGTGGAAGAAAGGTTCCCGCTCAATCGAAGAGTACTTTCAAGGACTCACCATACGCTTTGATCACCTTGCACTCTTAGAGAGTGAACTGCCCCATGATGATCAAGTTGAGGCGATTTTTGCTGGTTTGTCTGATGACTATAAACCCATCAAGGACCAAATCGCCGGCCGTGAGAAATCTCCTCGTCTCACTGAAGTTTATGAGAAACTTCTCAACCATGAAGTCACACTAGAGACGCTTGCTGAAACTGCCAATGCCTCCATGCCTGTGACAGCCAATGCCGTCAACTACCGTGGTAATCACACCAACAATACCAACAATAGCAATCGTAACTCGCAGCAGCAGCAGCAACGTAACAAGAATGGTTATCGTGGAAACCAGAACTGGCAGCAACAGCAACAATACTCTCCACGCCCGAACCAGTCGTACTCCCGTGGCTATCAAGGCAAGTGCCAAATTTGCGGGGTTCATGGTCATAGCGCCCGTACCTGTTCTCAGCTTCATCAGCAGCAAGTCGGCTACGCACCTCAGCCACGCGCCTATGCCCCTTGGCAGCCGCGAGCCAATATGGTCATGTCTTCGGTTTATGAGAGTGCACCATGGTTACTCGATAGTGGAGCCACACATCATGTGACGACGGATCTCAACAACTTGGCTCTCCATCAACCATACACGGGTGGTGAGGATATTCAAATTGCTGATGGTTCTGCCCTCTCCATTGCTCAAACTGGTTCCGCTTTTCTTTCAACTCCCTCTCGTGCATTAGTCTTGAAAGATGTTCTTTATGTGCCTGATATTAAAAAGAACTTGATCTCGGTGTATCGCATATGTAACGCTAACCAAGTTTCGGTTGAATTTTTCCCGGCTTCATTCCATGTGAAGGATCTCAAAACGGGGGTCCGGTTGCTCCAAGGCAAGACTAAAAATGAGTTGTACGAGTGGCCGGTTAATATTCCGAAACCAACGGCGTGTTTTGCTTCACCAACACCAACAACGGATTTAACGTCGTGGCATTCGAGACTCGGTCATCCGGCTTTACCAGATTTAAAAGCACTTGTTTCCAAGTTTTCTTTACCTGTTTCCTCGTCTTTGCAACAACATTTATCATGTTCCGATTGCTTCATCAATAAGAGTCATAAGCTTTCGTTTCAAACGAATTCAATTGTCTCCACTCATCCTCTTCACTACATTTATAGCGATGTGTGGACTTCTCCCTTGTTCTCTGTTGAGGGATTCAAATATTATTTGGTGTTGGTTGACCATTACACTCGATACACGTGGTTGTATCCGATGAAGCAAAAGTCACAAGTCAAGGAGATATTCATACGCTTCACCGCCTTGGTTGAGAATCGTTTTAATCAAAGGATTGGCACACTTTATTCAGACAATGGAGGAGAGTACATTGCACTTCGGTCGTTCTTGTCATCTCATGGTATTACACACTTGACGACACCACCACATACACCGGAACACAATGGAATTTCCGAACGTAAGCATCGACATATCATGGAAACAGGCCTCACTATGCTCAGCCAAGCGTCTATGTCCAAGGAGTATTGGAGCTATGCTTCCTCTACAGCTGTTTATCTCATTAATCGCTTGATAACACCGGTTCTTGGCAATGAGTCTCCATTTCAGAAATTATTTGGGACACCGCCTAATTACATGAAACTCCGGGTATTTGGCGGCCTCTGCTTCCCTTGGCTCCGACCTTACAATACTCATAAGCTTCAGGCTCGTTCTTCTCCTTGTGTGTTTTTGGGATACAATCTCACGAAAGTGCGTATCTCTGCTTGGAACCAACGAGTGGACGAGTGTATGTGTCTCGTCATGTTCGATTTATTGAGACACAGTTTCCGTTTGCTTCGCCAAAATCTTCACAAGAGTCTCTCGATACAGAGCCACCGTCATTGCTATCGTCGACAACGCCGGTTCCGTTCTCGCCACTCGTACAAACAGCACCACCGGACTCCCCAAGTGATCCTCACCAGCCGTCACCGAGTATGGCAACTACTCCCTCGCCGGAACTACTCTCCTCAGTGCCTCTCACCACGCCTCAGCCATCGTCGTCTCATCCCAGCTCTCAGGCCAACAATCAATTCCCGAGCCCGACACAAAATTTGAATCCAACCTCTCCTTCTTTAAACACAGGCCCAAATCCGAGCCCATTACCACCCTCAAGCTCATCAAATCAATCAAGCCCAACAAACACATTAAGCCCAAATCCATTATCCTCCTCTCAAAGTCCATCCCTGTCGCCATCATCTTCCTCCTCTTCGTCGGTACCAACCACAGAAACCTCATCCCCTGTTCCGTCTCCGTCACCTGTTCCATCACCACCGCCTCCACCAAACAGCCATCCCATGACAACTAGAGCCAAAAATAACATCACCAAGCCAACCAAGCGATTTGCTCATCTCGCTGGTCTACCTAAACCACCGATACCGAAGACACTGGCTGAGGCACTACGAGATCCAAAGTGGCGTGCTGCGATGACTGAGGAGTTTAATGCACAAATTCGGAATGGCACACATGAACTGGTTCCACCTTCCATGGCTTATAATATTGTTGGCTGCAAATGGATTTTTACATTAAAGTATAAACCTGATGGCTCTCTTGACAGGTACAAGGCTCGTCTTGTTGCTCGCGGTTTCCACCAACAACACGGCCGAGACTACACGGATACGTTCAGCCCTGTGATTAAAACCACCACAGTTCGTTCTGTTCTCCAAGTGGCGGTGAATAACGGTTGGGGAATCCGGCAGATTGATGTTAATAATGCCTTTCTCCAAGGTCGCCTTCAAGAAGAAGTCTATGTCACACAGCCACCTGGGTTTGTTGATCCAGATCGTCCGCATTATGTTTGTCGCCTTAAGAAGGCACTCTATGGTCTTAAACAGGCACCATGCGCCTGGTATCAAGAATTGCGTGCACATCTTCTCCGGCTTGGGTTTGTCAACTCTGTGGCGGACACGTCTTTGTTCATCAAGATCAATGGACAACACGTCGTCTATATTCTGGTCTATGTGGACGATATGTTGATCACTGGTAACAACACCAACCTTCTTGATCAGATTATTGCATCTATTGGCTCACGCTTCTCACTTAAAAATCTAGGGGAGCTCAAGTATTTTTTGGGTGTGGAAGCAACGCGCACATCTGCTGGTCTTCATCTTATGCAAAAGAAATATATCATTGATCTCCTCACCAAAACACGGATGTTAACGTCTAAGCCGGTGTGAACACCGATGTCACCATCTCCGAAACTCACCATCCGCAGTGGTAAACCATTAGAGGATCCTCGTGAGTATCGTGCTGTTCTTGGTAGTTTGCAGTACCTATCATTTACACGCCCCGACATTTCATTTGCCGTTAACCGGCTCTCACAATTTATGCACCAACCGACCGAGGCTCATTGGTGTGCGGTGAAGAGGGTTCTTCGATACTTAGTTGGTACCCAATCACATGGTATTCTCCTTCGTGCTAACACGCCGATATCTCTTCATGGTTTTGCTCTTAATGGCTACTCCGATGCGGACTGGGCAGGAGACCCGGATGACTTTCTGTCCACAAATGCTTATGTTATTTATCTTGGTGGTAGTCCTATCTCGTGGACGTCGAAGAAGCAAAAGGGTGTTGCACGCTCCTCTACGGAAGCTGAGTATCGTGCAATGGCGAATACAGCTTCTGAAATTCGATGTATAACGTCTTTTCTTACTGAACTTGGCGTTGTTATACCTCAGGTACCGGTCATCTACTGTGATAATGTTGGATCTACTCATCTTGCTGCAAATCCGATATTTCATTCTCGTATGAAACATCTCGCGTTGGACTATCATTTCATTCGTGACAATGTTCAAGCGGGAACATTACGTGTTAGTCATATCTCTACACACGATCAGCTTGCTGATCCGTTGACGAAGGCGCTTCCAGGACCGCGCTTTCAGCATCTTCTCTCCAAGATTGGAGTCACAAAAGTCCCTCCATCTTGCGGGGGCATGTAAGTGATGTATATAGAAAGGTCATTAGTGTCTTTGTATTTACCCTAATCACCTCTGTACACTCTCTATATATATTGTAATTATCATCTCTAATAAGATAAGCAGCCTTCTATCTTATAGATTGTGTCTCCAATATCACACTAAAAACACATTAAAGGCGTTTTCGTACAACTTTAGAGATGATTTTGTAAATTATGTTACGAAAGCTTATGGGTCTAAATTTGGTCATCGTGCTTCGTATCTCATTTTTTCCGATCAAGGGATTCAAGCAGATGTTTATTTGGTTTTAATCTTGAGGCAGAAAAATGTTGAAGTGTTTGAATAAAAATCCTTCCACATAACTATCCAAAAGTGTAGATAGAAGAGTCTAGTCATCTCGTTAGGACCCCTCGGAGCTTATTTTTCTGGATGGCAAATAAAGATTCATTTGTATTTGCAGTAACTTTCTCGGCATTGAATGACTAAGATGCTTAAAACGATATTTGGAAATATTCAATACAAAATATGTACTTGGACCACATTTTTTCCATCTTTGAAAAATTGTGCCACTGAAAATTTCTCTATTTGGAAGTCAAGTAATACTTTGAAAAATATTGCCATCTAAAATAGAACAAAGCTCAACATCTAACTTCTTAACAATAAAGCACTACTGCAATAACGAAATCATTACCAAACTTTCATATCGAGCCATTGAAGCAGCGTGACAATAATGGGGAAATGCCCTGTTTTGATGATATACCTCTCTTGTTCTCTTCTTCTTGTCTTTCAAAGACTCCATGGTGTTAATGCTGTCAAGTGTTTCGGAAGCTTCTTCAACGGCAACGGCAGCTACGCTCAGAATCGCCAGCAACTCTTCTCTGATCTTGCTGATAAAGTCGTCGCTAACGGTGGATTCTACAACGCTTCACTCGGCCAAAATCCCAACAGAGTTTACGCTCTTGCCATCTGTGCAACCAACTACGAACTAGATGCTTGTCTCAGATGTGTCCGAACGTTGGCTCAGGATACACAAAAAAATTGTCCAAGCCGCATGGATTCGTTCATATGGGGAGGCACTGAGAACGAAGTTTCTTGTTTTTTACGTTCCTCAAACCACTCAACCTTTGGGAACCTCCTGCTTGAACCTTTTTATGTGTACCCAAATCCGGATCTTATCGAGGGATTTAATAACATGAACCTTTTCGAACAACAGTGGGAAGGAATGGTTACCCGGACCCTCCAGGCTGCAACTAATGCTAAAAATTCCTCGGTTCTCAAGTATTACGGTGCTGTCAAAGAAAATTTCACGGACTTTCCAGATGTTTACATGATGATGCAATGCACACCCGACATAACTTCCCAAGAATGCAAAAAATGTTTGGGAGATTGCTTGATGTATTACAGACAAGATTATCAAGTAAGAAAAGGAGGCATGGCTAGTCTTCCTAGCTGTTATTTCAGGTGGGATCTATATTCTTTCCAAAGTGATGCCTTTGATAATGTAACAAGAATTCCTGGGCCTCCCGCTCAGGAAAAGGGGAGCTGCATAACAGAGAAAAAAGGTAAAACAAATGAGTTAATACCACAATTTGTAAGTATGATGAAGATGTTCTCAGACTAAAAAATGTTTAAATAATTTGCAGGAAGATGCATTGGAAATCGAGGTAGTATAGCAATATTTGCGGCTCTTACATTCACTAACCTTTTGATGCTTATTACCTTTATCAAAATCTTTGCAAGGCGGGGGAAATTTAAAAATGGTATGCGTACCTTGCTTGTTTTAATCAACCTTATCATGTAGAGAGGAAGGCTTATTTCTGTTTTTCTTTAGTTGGTAGCGCAGAGTACTCTGATTCAAATGGCCAGTTCATGTTCCGGTTTGATCTCCGTATGATCTTAATGGCAACCGATGACTTCTCTTCTGAAAACACGCTTGGCCAAGGTGGATTTGGTACTGTCTATAAGGTAATAATAACTTTTTCCCCTAATAATGTGTTCTTGATCAACCAAGGTAACAAATCTTGGAAATTGGTTTCAGGGGACCTTCCCAAACGGCCAAGAGGTAGCGGTAAAGAGATTATCAAAAGGTTCAGGACAAGGAGATATAGAGTTTAAGAATGAGGTTTCACTCTTGACAAGACTCCAACATAAGAATCTGGTTAAGCTTCTTGGATTCTGTAATGAGGGAGATGAAGTCATTCTCGTCTACGAGTTTGTCCCCAACGCAAGTCTTGACAACTTTATATTCGGTGAGCCTTTTGGAAAGACCTTTTTTTATAGTTTTAGAAACTCTTAACAAGATAAGAAGATTTTGTTTCTTTAAAACTCTGCAGATGAGGAGAAGCGTTCACTTCTTACATGGGAGTTGAGATATAAAATTATAGAAGGCATAGCTCGAGGTCTTGTTTATCTTCATGAAGATTCTCAGCTGAAGATTATTCACCGTGACTTGAAGGCGGGCAACATACTTTTAAATGCTGAGATGAACCCTAAAATAGCAGATTTTGGGACAGCGAGGTTGTTCGACCATGACGTGACCCGAGCTGAAACTAAACGAATAGCTGGAACCTGGTAAGGAATATTTAAATGCTCTGTTTTTAAAACAGAGTCTTGCAGAAATTTAAACAATCATGAGTTAGTGTTAATGGTTTGCATATATGCAGTGGATATATGGCTCCTGAGTACCTGAATCACGGGCAAATCTCAGCCAAATCTGACGTTTATAGCTTCGGCGTCATGCTTCTAGAGATGATAAGTGGCCAAAGAAACAAGAGCTTTGAAGGAGAAGGACTTGCAGCTTTTGTAAATAAAATTTACATATCAGTGTTTGCACAATTTTTTCTATCTCTTCAAACCTCTTATGTATAAAACGTAATAATACATATTTTTTTGATGTAGACATGGAAGAGATGGGTTGAAGGAAAGCATGAGATTATAATTGATCCTTTCTTGATAGAGAATCCAAGAAACGAGATCATAAAGTTGATCCAGATTGGTTTGTTGTGTGTTCAAGAGAATGCAGCAATGAGACCAACAATGAGCTCTGTGATAATTTGGCTTGGCAGTGATACAATTATCATTCCTTTACCTAATGCACCTGCTTTCACTGGAAGTCTATCCCAACCGGAAATTTGTACATTAATGTCAATGAGTAGCGATGTCTTCACGGAGTTGGGTTGTCGTTGAGCTGTAAATCAGTTAATCAAAATGTTGTTTCCGAAAGCAAACTATACATTGTATCTTGTGGTCTTGATCATGCTCAAGATCAAGGAACCTTTCATTTTATCTTGTGTTCTTTAGAGATTTTGAGACGCTTCATCTCAAAGCATTTCTAATAACTATTAAGCTATCAAGCTATTAAGCCATATTCTATCATGCATGTGATTGACCTTCAGTTTACCTCTATCAGCTAAACAAAAAAGATTGTATTTTTAGGCTCAGGACACTGCTAAGTCTGGCCTATAACACTGTCATAACAAAATATTATATTTTTCTCAATTCTTAATTTTGTTCAGCCATCTCAATTATGTCATAAGAATCAATTTATAGGGAATAAAACCAATCGGACAGGAGATATCGGTAAAGACTTAACCCACAGCTGTTGCCGGCAATGGAGCATCAATCATGTAGTATAACTCTTTGCATGACTCTATCTGTGTGCAATCAGTGACATCTTGAGAAACGAGATGCCGTGTAATGTACACAAACTATGTTCTTCATATATATAGTTTATCCATTAGAGACACTACTTCGAATGGATATTTTGTTTTCCCCCAAATTTAACGGATGACACCACCAAATACGGATGGACGCAAGAGAAAATGAAAAAAAAAAAAATCACGCACCACAAACTACGTTAGCTTAAATGAAGTTTTTAATTACCACCACAATAAACTCTATATGCAATACTTTGTCGTCGTCGTGGACATGACAAGGGAAGACTTAATATAATTAGGTTCTATGAAAAGTCCACACGAGCAAGATCACTTTTATACCTAATGTGTGCGTCAATGCGTGTGGTAGGGGTTGCCTTGTCAAACAGAAAGAAAATTGTACGCAGTAGAGTCAATAATATAAGGTTTACATATTTACTTTCATATATTTAAGTTTTGGCATTTAAAAAGATTGTCTCAAGTAAATAACATTTTATTTGTTCCTTTTCGAGTTTACTACAATTTTCCCACTTTTTTTCTTCTTCTTCATATATAACTCTTCTCTATCTATACTATTAATTGGGAAGGACAACTTGAAGCCAAACACCCCTAATTTAAAAAAAAAATTTCATGAAATATATTCCAATTGCCAAACAGAATTAATGACAGCAAAAAAAAAAAAAACTATTTATATTTATGGAAATCATAATAATCTTTTACCATAAAAAGTGTACAATTAAATTCAAAATTAAATATATGTAAACATATCTATTTTGATTATACATAAACATATCTAATATTAATTAAATATTTTAATATAATTTCGAAATTAATAATTTATATAGAATCAAATATAATCAAACAAAATCATCATATATCTAAAATAACAAAGATAACATTTTTATAGAAAAATAAAAAGATAAAAAAATATGTTAGCTTATGAAATAATCAACTAATCAAATTCTACATAGTATATATACATAACTGATCATATCATCAAATTTTAAAAAATTATATAATTTTAAAATATAAATAAAATATAAATAAATCAATAATTAAATATTTTTTTGTTAAAACATGCGAATAAACATTCTAGATCACATAAATTTTTTATTTTCACATAAAAATATTCATATTCAAAAAGCAATCTAGCAATTATAGCACAAAAGATATCTACAAAATTTATCACTCTTAATTCAATTAGTTAATCTATACTATTAAAAGAGGAGCATTTTTTAAAGGTGTATCCAAACAGATTAAATAGAAAAAATGAAATAAAATGTAATCCTAAACTTATAGCCAAACAAAATTAATGACAGATTTTCAAATGAAAAAATATGCTTTAAAATAAATAAAAAATCAAACTAATAACTAATCAATATTCATGGAAATCATAATAAATTTGTTACCATAAAATGTGGCCTATTAAATTCGAAAACAGAATTGTATATTTTAAACATATTTTAGAGTTTTCTAATAAATTTTACCAAATTTAAAAAATTATATTTCAAAATATTATAATATTCTATTTTTTGAAACGCTAGAAATAAATTGATATTTATAGTATTTTAAATTGTATATATGGAAACAGTTTAAATTAGGTAACTAAATGTGTAAAATAAATTAAGTCCAAATAAAGATTAAAAATAGTATAAATATCTAAATTCTATAGAAGTTTAAGTATGATTAATATTTACTCCTTTAAAAGGTTTTAAAATATTATAAATATTTAAACTACATGTAAAGTTTAAAATATTAGAAATATTTAAACTCAATCCAAAAATTATAAATTTAATATATTATATATTAAAAATTTCTAATATCTTTAAGAGAGCAAAATATATTTTGAAAGGAAATAATATGCTTAAAAATTAAATTAAATAATAACTAATAACTAACTAATATTCATGGATATCATAATAAATTTGTTACCATAAAATGTGGCCTATTAAATTCGAATTGTATTTGTTAACATATTTTAGATTTTTTGGATATTTTCTCTAATGTAAACTAATATATTTCAAAATATTTTAATATTTTAATTTTTGAAAGGTTTAAAATAATTTGATATTTATAGTATTTTAAGTTGTATATATGTAAAATATCTTGAAGACAGCAAAATATATTTTCAAAGGAAATAAATATGCTTGAAAATAAATAAATAAATAAAATCAAAACTTATAACTAACTAATATTCATGGAAATCTTAATAAATTTTTTACCATAAAATGTGGCCTATTAAATTCAAAATTTTGTATTTGTAAACATATTTTAGTTTTTTTGGATATTTTCTCTAATTGAAACAAATGTATTTCAAAATATTTTAATATTTTTATTTTTAAAACGTTTAAAACAGTTTCATATTTATAGTATTTTAAATTTTATATTTGAAAAGATATATACAGTTTAAATTATGTGAATATATGTTTAAAAGATTAAATATTATAAATATTTAAATTCTATAGAAGTTTAAGTATTATCAATATTTACTTCGAGACAAGTAAATTTCTACTTTGGAAGATTATGATACATGAACATGAATTTGAATTTTTAAATTCAATTTTAACTTTCCAATTTTATTTCAAATATCAAAACATTAAATAACGGGTACAAGTAATTTGATACATAAAATAACATCTAAACTATTCATGATAGAATATGGGTCGAAAAATTTAGCTAACGCGAATTCAAGAAAAGCATATGCGGACATACTATTAACTAATGTGGATTAGAGGAAATCTGTTTTTCCGGGTCAAATTATTTTAATCTATATTGAGATAACAATATTTGTAGTGTGGAGCATGCATAGGAACGTGTCGGACCTATTGACAAATATATTTAGGCCATTCGGGGGAAAACATTTTATTTTCATTGTTTTAATCATGTTTGAAGATCACAATTCACACTCAATCTAGATATGCTATCATGTCGATCTGACATTCACAAATTTCATGAAAGCAAACCAATATTAGTTTATGTCATAAATGCTATAGAGAATAAATATATCTACAAATAAAACCCCACATTTATCTGTAAATTTAAAGAGATCGTTAACTTATTTTTTTAATATGTTCGAAAAAATATACCATCTTAAATGAGTAAATTATTATTAAAATGATTATGAGGTGAAAATACATGAGTACATGACATATTATGACGCACGGGTCATGGTTTATGTCCACAAATATACAAATCACATTTTTTTACTATTTGTTTTAGTGTATAACTATCCAAAACAAAATTGTATCGTTCTTTTTTTTATTAGAGTGATATAAAAACAAATCAAATATTGAACTGTTACGGGTTTAGATTGTAAATGTTAATAACATTCTTAAAAGTTATGTTTACAAACATACCCTGTACGTACGCAATATATTTCTAAAATTTAGTAACAAATTTTATATTGAAAATCAATCTCGCACGTACGTGCGGGTCCAAATCTAGTTTATATTACAATTTTACTATATATTAGTTATTTAAAAATTCTAAATACCATTAATTTTTATGAATGTCCATGAAACTGCCCATGGACGTACGTATATAAAGCTGTATTTGAAGATGGTAAGTGTGTATCACATTGATCACTTTTTTCATCGTATCAAGTATCTATCAAATCGATCACTTTGCACACCCATCCAAAACAATAAGAACATGGTGGATTCTTGGATCCATCTCCATGCATGCCACCATAATCCAAAGATGTAGGAAAGACTGAATTGTTTCTGTAGCGAAGTAGTTGTTGTTTCAAATAGACAACTTCTCTTTTAGATAACTTATACTCATTTTTTACCAAAAACAAAAAGAACTTATCCTCATTGTACTTGTATGTCATCAAAAGAGGCTGGACTGTGCTGAGACGATGACAATCTTGTTGTTTTCACCAACACCAATTGTACCATATTGGTACTTTTGGCTGTGGCACTCTAGGTTGTAAAATTTTCGTAAGTGAAGTGATTTTTTTCTCTAACTTTTCTAATCATGTTACTGTTTGTGTAGTAGTCTCTCTAGGTGACTAGGTCATACTAATTTGTAAGAGACAAAAATACGGAACTAGAAGTAAAAGTAAAACCCAAAAGCTGAAAATAAATTAAGCTACCGTAATAAGAACAGAGTAAACACTCACACCTTGGCCTAACCTGATCAAAACACCTCTATGTAACATTTTATGAGAAAAGAATATACGAAAATAAATAGATCCTTACTGATTTTCTAAAATTACGAAAAAATGAATACTGTAGTTTGTATCATAATTGCAAAAACATTTTTAAAAGAAAGAAATTTGTGATAATAATCTCCGCCTCAAATACCACTTAAGACTTAGAAGGGGGAAGACTTGTTTAGGTCATGCTACCAAAAACAAAAGCTATTATTAAATGAAAACGATGTGCATGTGGTAGGGTTACGTACATATATGGAGACGAAGAGTAATATATTTCACAATACGATATTATCATTACATTCTTGAGGCTTTGTATGAGTCTTCCTTCAAAAATTGACTTCATTGGCTGTCTTTTTTTTTTTAGCTACTAGAAAAATCTGACTTCGTTGGCTATCATTGTTGTCTCTATGTGCTTATCTTCCAACTTCAGTACCTCACAACAGCAACTGTTGTTGTTGGCTTCTCTCGGAAAAAAAAAACTGTTTATTTTTTCTTCTATAGATGTGGCCATTTTTGCATCTTTCGAAATTAAACCAATTAATACGTTAACATCTTCTCTCAGTGTTTTTTTTGGGGCCAAAAGTTCTTAATATGTTAACATCTCACATTTCAACCAAAATGTGGCCATTTCATTTGCTTTGTGCTTTAGCATAATTTGAAATGTCAAGGCCGCCATGTTCTGGCTATAACAAAACTCAAAAATGGATTACTTCGTAACCATATAAGTACATGAATAAGGAAAACAAGAAAAGAAAAAGTTGTTCTCAAGAAAACAAAAATGGGGAAATGCCCTGTTTTGATGATATTGCTCTCTTTTTCTCTTCTTCTAGTCTTTGAAACACTAAATGGTGTTGACGCTGTCCAGTGTTTCGGAAGTCCATACAAGCGTAACAGTAGCTACGCTAGGAATCGCCGGAAACTCTTCTCTAATCTTGCTGAAAAAGTCGTTGATAACAGCGGATTCTACAACGCTTCATTCGGCCAGTTTCCCGACAGAGTTTATGGTCTCGCCATGTGCGCAAGAGGCTACGAGCAAGAAGCTTGTTTCAATTGTGTCCAAAGATTGGCTAACTCTACAATAGATGACTGCCAAAGCCGAAAGGATTCGTTCATGTGGGGTGAGGATACGGATGCAGCTGTTTCTTGTCTTGTTCGTTCCTCAAACCACTCAACTTTTAGGAGCCTCAAGCTTAGTCCTCCTTTTGTACAGCCAAGTCCAAATACTATCCAGGCATCTACGTTGACCCTTTTCTTACCACAGTGGGAAGCAATGGTTAATCGGACCATTGAGGCTGCCACCAAGGCTAAAAATTCCTCGGTACTTAAGTACTATAGAGCCGAAAAAGCCGGGTTTGCGGATTTTCCAGATGTTTATATGCTGATGCAGTGCACACCCGACATATCTTCCAAAGATTGCAACACATGTTTGAGAGATTGCGTGATATACTATAGAAAACAGTATCTTGGAAGAGAAGGAGGCATGGCTAGTTTCCCAAGCTGTTTATTCAGGTGGGATAAATATGCTTTCCATGGTGCTTTTGATGATGTAAAAAGAGTTCCTGCGCCTCCTCCTGGGCCTCATGTTAATGAAGAGGAGAGTTCAACAACAAACAAGAAAGGTAATTAGAGCTTTGCAACACAATTTATAAGTCTGATACAAAAAGGTTCTAAGACTAAAAAGGCTTACTAATATGCAGGAAGAAGCATTGGGTATCGCGGAATTATCGCTATAATCGCGGTTCTTACTTTCATTAATATTTTGGTGTTTATTGGCTTCATCAAAGTATATGCTCGGAGGAGAAAACAAAAAAATGGTAAGTGTACCTTGTTACTTGCTTCAATCAAACTTATGATGTAGAGAGCAAGACTTATTTCTCTTTTCTCTATTTTCTTTTTCTTTAGTTGGTAGCGCAGAGTACTCTGATTCTGATGGTCAGTTCATGTTACGGTTTGATCTTGGTATGATCGAAAGAGCAACCGATGACTTCTCTTCTGAAAATACGCTTGGCCAAGGTGGATTTGGAACGGTCTATAAGGTATTAGAGTCGTTTCCCTGATAATGAGTTCTTGATCAACCTTAAGTATTTTATGGGTAAGTTAATATATCTTGAAAACTGGTTTCAGGGTACATTCCCAAACGGGAAAGAAGTAGCGGTGAAGAGATTAACAAAAGGTTCAGGACAAGGAGATACAGAGTTCAAGAATGAGGTTTCACTCTTGACAAGACTCCAACATAGGAATCTTGTTAAGCTTCTAGGGTTCTGTAATGAAGGAGGTGAAGAGATTCTTGTCTACGAGTTTGTCCCCAACGCAAGTCTTGATAACTTTATCTTCGGTGAGCCTTCAAAAGACAGTGGCATTTTGCTAATAGTTTTAGAAGCCTTAAGTATAAAATTGTTTCTTTAAACTTTACAGATGAAGAGAAGCGTTCGCTTCTTACTTGGGAGGTAAGGTTCAAAATTATAGAAGGCATTGCTCGAGGTCTACTTTATCTCCATGAAGATTCTCAGCTGAAGATTGTTCACCGAGACTTGAAGTTGAGCAACATCCTTTTGGACGCTGAGATGAACCCTAAAATTGCAGATTTTGGTACAGCGAGGTTGTTCGACACTGATGAGACTCGAGCTGAAACAAAACGAATAGCTGGAACCCGGTAAGAGATATAACAATCAAATTTGAAGACAAACATGAAAATGCTCTGTTTCTAAAACAGAGTCTTGTAGACATTTAAAGAATCATGAATTAATGTCACTGCTTTGCATATGTGCAGTGGATATATGGCTCCGGAGTACCTAAATCACGGAGAAATCTCCGCGAAATCTGACGTTTATAGCTTCGGCGTCATGCTTCTAGAGATCATAAGTGGTGAAAAAAACAAGAGCTACGAAGGAGAAGGACTTGCTGCTTTTGTAAGCTTCTTCTCATATTCATATCAGCCTTTTTTTATTAGACTTCAAACCTCTAGTGCAAGAAGTAACAATATATATTTTCTTGGTGCAGACATGGAAGAGATGGGTTGAAGGGAAGCCTGAGATTATAATTGATCATATCTTGAAAGAGCATCCAAGAAACGAGATCATCAAGTTGATCAAGATCGGTTTGTTGTGTGTTCAAGAGAATGCAGCAAAGAGACCAACCATGAGCTCTGTAATAATGTGGCTTGGAAGTGAGAAAATCCTCATTCCTTTACCTGATGCTCCTGCTAACTCTGGAAGTCGATCACAATCTGAAAGTGGTACAACAACAGTGTCAATGAGCGGCGATGTCTTCACGGAGTTGGCTTGTCGTTGAGTTTAATCAAAATGTTGTTTCCGAAAGCAAACTATACATTTTTATCTTGTGTTCTTGATCTTGAAATATGATAATCTTTCATTGTATCTTGTGGTCTTGAGATGTTTTTTCGTTTTGGTAAATAGAAAATTTATATATGAATTATGTATATTCTTTAGCTCAAACCATATAATAAGACTATCCTTATCAGTGTGGCTGTGACTTCTTAGATTGTATAGAAACTTTTATTTTGTAAATTATAAGGATAGTCTTATTATTTTGTTAACCGGAATAAACGGTTAGCTTATTGTTTTTAAGTTTTAAAATGTTGTTTTGACCAGTAGTAGTTTAATTTTATAAAGGTAATAAAGTAAAATAAAATTGAAATTTTGTAGAGAGATAAATAACATGATATAAAAAATAAATTGCTGAAATATCTCAAATGTACCCCCAATAGAGAAACAATAAGAAATCTAGTCCAGCCAATCAGATAAAGTATCAATTCCTAATTAGGAAGTTACATGATATTTGTTATCTTACTCTAAAGAGAAATATAAGGAAGTTTTTTTTGTTTTTTTTATTTGAGTTATTTTACTATAAAGAGAAACAATAAGAAATCTTGTCCAGCCAATCAGATAAAGTATCAATTCCTACTTTCACTTACATGATATATGGAAGTTTGTATTTTTTTTGCTTAAAAAATATGATATAAAGAAGTTTTTTGAGTACATTGATATTTTCATATTTATTCCCAAAAAGGAATATATATTTCTTTTAATAATATACCTATACAAAAAACGTTTATGAGTGCTGTCAAATCTTTTAAAAGTTGAATTAAAGTTTATCATACCAAATAAAGCTTGTTCTTAAAAAAACAAACCTTTCTTGTTTCAAATATTAAATTAGACAGCTTTTTTTGGTTGCTTAGCGAACAAATGGTTCAAACTATGTATGTTTGTTTCTTAATATAGAAAGATAAATATTTTTTATTGATTGAAACAAAAGATATTTTATAAAATAATCATTCACCCAAATAATGGATGAAAATTACCATAACATATTGTTTGACTTTTATTTTTCTTATCCCATTATGCATATGAGATAAGCATTACATAAAATAGAGAGCAAGCTTAAAAAACAAAAGATAGAAACCAAAGTCCTCTTAGTACTTGAGACCAAGAGTGAGTTCAAGGGATATGTCTTCTTCACCATTCGCACCATCCTCAGCAACAACGACATCATTGTCTCTGTTTTCATTTAGTCCCACCTGCCATTATATAGACATAAATCTAATTCATATGCATATATGTAATCTAAAAGCTGGTGACAATATAAGGTAAGAAATGCAAAAGGACAAAAACAAAAAAACATACCATGCAAGATTGATAGAGAGACTTGCAAGATACTTCCATTGGGTTTACCATCTCAGGACTGTTCAAATTAAAAAAGATAGTTAATTAACAAACTACCAAAAAACAATAACAACTATGCAAAAACCTAATTTAATATATACAAGAACCTTTCTTCAATTTGGACATCATCTCGAAGGTTTTCATAGATCTGAACATATTGTTGGGACTGCCTCTGATTCAATTGCCGTATCATTCTCCTTTCTGCATAAAAAGAGACATAATAAACTCACTATATTACGACATCATTATGTTGTCATATGCAAAGTTACAACTTACAACACTAACATACTTATTAATCTCTTTTGTTTTTGAATAACCGAAAAGTTTTAAGTATAGGCCCATCCCATACATCCTCATAAGACGGAAATTATAATATTTTGTATGTTTTTTTCCCAAATGTCATTCGAACTAGCGACCTCTAGGTTTTGTCTAAGAGTCTTTACCAGTTGAGCTACTGATAATTGCTTTACTTATTGACTCTAAATTAAGTATAAGATAGTTATTTACCTTTTCTGGAATCTCTTTCCTTCTTCTTCCTATACATCTAATGAAAGTAAACACATATATTTGATTAAGTACATTGATGAATCTATAGCTTTTATATAGAGACATATTGTGTAAAGCTAGCTAAAAATGTGTATATGAATCATAAAGACCTGGAGATGGCTTTTAATTTGTGATGTTGTAATGTCTCTCGCACCCATACGATTTAAAATTGTCTTAGGTGTTGCATCTGCAAATAATAATATTGACTATAATGAATCTAAAAATGATGTAAAGAGAAATTTGATCATATCTAAGGTAAAATAACGAGAAAATTTGAGAGACGGAAGGTATCTTAAATGGAAGAAAAAAAACAAAGAGATTTTTGATTTCGAATGGCGAAAATTTTCTCGTTGTTTTGTTATAGAAGACTCGTCCTTTGTTTTAGTTTCACGATATGAAAAAAGTTTGCTTACTCCTTTCGCCACCAAGAGATTCAACAGCTTGAACAAAGAGGTGATGGCGATCGTCTGTCCATCGCATACGTGACATTTTTGACGTAATGGAAGATTTAACGATCGAGTTTCTTATGGGTGCTGTTTTGGGTGAACGCTTAGTTAAATTGATGATTTGTTCATAAAATGTATATCATATTTATAGAAAACTTTTTGTTTAAAATATTCATATATATATTTTCCCCCAAAATAACCAGAGAGGAAGTTGTTTAATGCTTGTATATTTTAGCTGTCACTTGTAAGTACTGATTTAATTATTTCTCTGAAAAAGGAAATACAAAATTACACATTAGCTTAAATATGTACTTCTGACAACTCCAAGTTGTCTTATGTCTAATACTAATTATTATATGTATCATAAATGTAAAATTTTTAAATTAAGCTTATCAGATTTATCTCTATATATGATGAACTTTTTTATGTATAATTAAATTTAGTCAATGTCAATTTATGGCATAAGCCTTGTTTCTTATTATAATCATTTTAATTTAAACCATATTTTATAAATAACTAAAAAACCTTCCAAATATAATGTATATATATATAATTTATTTTTATATATTATATAGTTTTATTTGAAACACAAATTGAATTGTAGGTGAGAGAAAATGGAGCTTTTTTGACAGGTAATGTTAATTGATATGTGGACATGCATTTTTATTTTTATTTTCCATATATTTGTATAGATTTTAAAATTGTTATCATCTTTTCCTAAGAAATATTATTGATAACAAAATGAGATATGTTTAAGTTTAACAAAAGTTCACTTTTAAAAAGTTCACTAGCGTCAAAATATAATTACGTATCATTCGTATGTGTATTTAAATATTGTAGCCGAACTATTACCAAGTGAGACGAAAAGATTTGGAGACTACAGTTTGAAGATTTTCCATCATTCAATGGTGATTTCAAATTTTCAAGTCCTTTAAATGTATCGATGAATGGCTCCGGTACTCAGTCACGAGTCTTGTGACTTTGGTGTGAGTTTCATTGAAACCTCTCATCATCATTTGACTCGACACAATCATCTAAACAAACATTTCGATCTGTTTTTCTCCTTTCAAATATTTAAGAGTGGAGGAGAGATACTACAAGTCTACTAGTCTGAGGTCTGGCATATGAAAAGTTAAAAAATCATCACATCATCTGAAGATGAAGATCACCCGTCTGCTGGGCCAACTCCACCATCATGGCCTCGTCGAAAAACTTGTTGCCACTAACATCTTCACTCATTCCCTGTAAAGCCAACCATAACATATATATGTCAGAGAGACTGCAACTGGTGTCTTTAAAGAGCATATAATAGAGGGCTGGATTTGTAGAGAGTTTTAGTTTGGTAAATTCTTACCTTTCTACGGCGGGTCTTGACCATGAATTCACGAGCTAGGTGCTGAATAGGGGCAGGCTCAAGTGGGCGCAATAGGATGCTTTTGTCAAGAGGGTCTCCTGGCACTATGGCCCAGTGATCAAATACAGAGACGCAGAAAGCTTGTCCCTGTGTGTGGTACCTCAGATCTGTCTCAAACCCAAATGATTCTATCACAGGTAGAAAAGCCTGCATCAAAACCAAAGAATCAATCACTCAGCACTCGGTCAGATTATAGGAAACAAAGTAAGAAAAAAGACTAACCTTCACAATATAAGCGGGGGTACCGGGCTGAGGAACATCAGATGTTACGTGCCCACGTCTACGTGACAAAACTGTGTAGATTGCAGTAACACAGTCGATTGGTGTTTGTATCTGAGACACAACCACAACTCTTAATGACCAGTACAAGAGGAAATGCTAAGAGGAAAAATGCAAAGAGACAAAGTAGAAAGGGATAATGTACCTCCACATAGTACACAGGTTCCATCAGCCTTGGAGTAGCCATAAGAAAGGCAGAATATGCAACACGTCTTGCTGTTGGAATCATCTGACCAGATCCTCTATGCAGCGGCTCTGGTGCTATCCGTGCATCAACAATCTTGAACTTTACATTCCTGATGGGCTCATCACAGAGGGGACCTTCACGGGCACCCCACTGGAACCTGCAACATGATTTAAACGAAGCCATTCAGCTACAACCAACAAAGTGGAGCCAAAGAAAAGTATAACAGAAGAACGATGCTCACCCTTGAACAATGGAGTCTTTCACTGCCATCATCAAGTTCCGGTCGACCTCGGTTGGGAGGGTGTCATCCAACAAAATATTTGGCCCCTGATCAGTCAAAAATCAAAAATTAAAAATCAAAAATCAAAAATTAAAGATGAATTGTCAATACTTGCTAGAGCTATAACACAAAGCAACCATAAAGATAAAGAAATTACTCAGATTGCAGGGATTTAAAAAGACAAAAATTGCATTAACCTGTTTGTCAGGACCAAAAGCCCAAATGGAACGCGCAGCAAGTAAATCCCAGTCATACTTCGTCCTGAAGAAGTCACCGAGTTGTTTTCTGTTCCAGTCAATGCTTACAACGCCATTCTCAATGTCCTCAGCAAGTCCTTTATCCAACGGCTCTGCAATCTTTAGCATGTAACAGATATTAGATTAGTCACAAAGTATTGTGTTTAAGCACCATACCAAACATCTCAGTCTTATATATAAGGGATAATCTCGAAACAGGAAGATCTCTTACCATTGTTATTTTGTTCTTTTTGTTTGGTGTCTCAGCAAAACACTTCATCGACGAAGATTCAACCACTGTCTCGCAGAAGGAGACCACCGGATCTGCAACCTGCAAATTTAAGAAAGGGAAAGATCTTTAAGATTAAAAAGAAAAATCATATCAGTAACTGGCTTGCAGAAGAGAATTAATGTCCTAGAGCCAAAGTAGATCACCTTTACTTCCACCTCTGAATAGAGCTCCCTGAGGTCCTTCATGATGGAATCCAAGTACAACTCACCCGTGCCTAAAATAGTATGTTCTCCAGACTCCTCGACTTTGGTAATCGCAAGGGGATAGCTTTTGCTAATTTTTCTAAGCCCTTCCACCATTTTAGGTAGCTCACTAGGATTCAAAGGCTCGGTAGCAGTCTTAACTACTGAGAGGGTATTAAATTGGAGCGCTCGGAATATGTAGACGTCTTCATCGTAGCTTGCATTACACAGAGTCGCAGTTTTCATGATGGACGCATCAACACCTTCAATTAGAACCCATGAACCGGGAGGGGCACTGCTTACTGGTATTCTATACCTTGCTTGATATATCCATAGCTTGGTCACTTCTTTTATAGTCATGTCCTCCTCATCTTCAGGTGAATACCCTTCTCCTAGTACACGTATGCTTTGCCCTGTTTGAAGCCTACCACTATAAACTCTTCCAAACACATCAAACACACTAGTATCTGACTTTGGGTACAGCTTTGTCACATTAACCATGAGAGGTCCAGATGGATCACATTCTACCATTGATTCATAAATGGGAGAATCTTTTGGCCCAGTGTATGCATGGCCGACTTTCCTAGCTGCAGCCTCTCTGGGGGAAGGAATGTGCTTTACCAACATATCAGTGAACCCTGATGCCGAACCGAAAACTGAGCTACAGGCTAACCTAAGTAAAGGTCTGACGTTAAGCTTATATGCACTATTACTCAGAGTCACTCCTAATTCTGCAAGGGTGGTCTCTACACTCTTCTTATGTTCACCTATCACTTGGCTGTATATTTTGTATAGAGGCTCCAGAATAAACTGGACAAATGCTCTTTCTCCACCACCTACTGGAGGAGTTCTCTTGAATACCCTTGTGTCAGGATGATAATAAACATCTCCCCAAAGTCGAGATGCAAACTTATCCACGTCCATGGCCACCCCATGAAGCTTGGCATACATTTTAGCAAAAGACTGCAATGTAAAAGACCATCCGGCTGTACCACTGGCGAAACATACATTTCCGGCTGCAGGGTCTATAAGGGGTAAGTCTCCAGCTTTTGTTGAAGCAACAGATATGTGGTTATTAATGACTTCAATTGTATGCCTAAGCTTATAGTAAGCATCCCTTGGAGGTAGTTTGAGCTCAGTTATGAGCCTGTCAACCTGTTGGGGAACAAAAAACAAAAGTGAAGTAAATGTATGGAAATATAAAATTTACACAATATATCTTAAATCACACTGTTGAAGCATAATGTACCTTATTGATCACAACAACAATTGGAAGACGGTCCTGGATTGCATGCCGAATAGCTCTCTCTGTGTTTACCTGGAAAAAGAATTTATTAGCGCTAGTACAATCAGTAAACCTCAAAGGAAAAATACAGACATAAATGAGAGAGTAAACACATACCATGACTCCTTCAGCAGCATCAACGATGAGAACAGCACCATCGGCAAGTCTTAGAGAAGCAGTCATTTCGTCAGAGAAGTTAACATGTCCGGGAGTATCCATGATATTGCACAGGTATGATTTGGATCTACTGTCCTCAAGGACAAGAGACATTGGAATGGCCTTAATTGATATATTTCTCTCCTGCTCATCAACTCGCGTGTCTGTATACTTCATATGCTTCTCGTTTTTAACATTGAAAGTAGACATATGATGCGTCTGCTCTACCAACATATCCATGAAGACAGTTTTCCCATGCTGTAGATGACCCACAAGAGCAACATTCCTCACAAGGGTGGGATTAGACATGAGGCCGATAAGAAACTGAGTTGAGACGTATGTCGACTGATCCTTGACCCCAACCTCAAACCTAATATCTCTAACAGGTTTGATAATGGGCTGCTCAAGAGGCTGTTCATCTTCATCCATAACCAATGTCTCAACATCCTCACCATAAACCTCCTCTGCAGTAGGGTAGTACTTCTTATCCTCAGGAAGAACAATCTGGTTCTCCATCTCAACATCATTGATTGTGGTAATCCAGCCATTTGGACCTCCTTGTTCACCATCCGATCCATGCCCGTTTTCTTCAGGTTGGTTATCTTCATCTTCTTCTACTTCATCATCACTCTCTCTGTCAGACTCAATCTCAGGTCCAATGTAGTTACCAAACTCATCATATAAGCTATCATCCATCGTTTATGTAAACCTGTCAATACAGAATCCAATAAAGCAATCACAGTTTTGCACATGAAAAATAACCTCAAAAGTAGTTAAATCACCATAGAATCAATCTGGGTTTAACTAATACCAAATCTGAAACCTATTAACCCCTAATGCTATAACAACATTCAACAATTAACAAGAAGAAACTCAAAAACCATTCTAGACTCAGCGATGAAGTTTATTTGGATGAGAAAAAATCGGTTGGATCTTCACTTAAATCGCCGGGTTATTGCGTAGTTTTCACAAAAGTGTCTACGCGAGCACCGGGAAAAGCTAGAATCAACCGGAAACTTAAGATAATTCGGAGTACAGCAAAACCCTAGGCAAGAATCAACGAGAAACTTAAACTAAGTTGGACTAGAGCAAAACCCTAGAGTAGAAGCAAAACTCGAGCAGATACAAAGTTAAGGAGTGAGAGAAGACGAACCTCGGTGTGGGAAGAGAAACGAGAGGCGATGGTGCGCAAGCTAGAGGAGAATGAGGGTTGAATGGCTCGGCGATAACGACTGGGTTCGACCTTTATCGAGACTCTGACGACTGTTTTGGTGAACAGAGCCGTCGAAGACGGTAATATAAGATTTAGATTTAGGTTTTATATTCGAAAGACTCTTTCCCAGCCAGAGGTTTTTCTAGTCGGTGTTTTATTTTCGTTTTTTTTTGTTTTAATTCCTTTTTCTTTTGGAAAAATAGTAAAAAAAAAAAACTTTAAATCAGAAATTGAAACTTTCTGATCAACGTATTAATGTCTTGGTATGGCTCAAAAACCTGTAAACAAAACAATTAGAGAGGAATAGTAATTACTCAATGAGAGGGTTAATAATACTGCCACCAAAATACAATGACAACAATTTATCCGATAGTCATAATTATTATATATCATAGATTTAGACTTCACATTCTTGACATATGTATCCGATAGACATAACATGATTATACAATATTTCAAACCATATGTACTATCAACAACAATGCTAAACCGAAATGTGGCATAAAACCAATCTCAGGTTCGTCTGTCAAATCATCTCATATCATATCATCAGCATGTTATCTATAAGTGGTGAGTCTAAAGTATACAACCTTATACATGTTTTCACGAGTCAAAAAGACTCTGAATTTTTTAAGGCCACAATGTTAAAAAAAAATGTAAAAGATTGGTTTTATATTTCTTAGATCTTAGTGAGTCAAAATTAATTTATTTTATTTACTTCAAGAATCATTATGCAAATAAAAATGTTTAACTTTTAAATAAAATAAAATATATTTTTATTAATTTATTTTGGTTCTATTTAGAAAATTGGGAGAATTTCAAAAATACCCTTTTTCAAATGCCACTTTTTTAAAATACTTCATTTTCAAACTTTATCAAAACAAACCATTAAAAATGTTGAAATTTGTCCAAATATTTATGTAAACTTATAAATATACATACAAATTACATTTATAAATGTGTAAAATTTAATATATCTTTCATAAATACCGAATAAATACATTATAAAAACCTTTTAACCGTATAAATACATCATCTATCTTTTAGTTTGTCATTCCAAACAAAAACTATAGTTGATGATAATTGTATATGTATTATTTATACCAATAAGGTTTACTTAAAACAAAAACAAATACAGTACGTTTGAAAATTTGGTCCTCACCATCAAATCATCAACTTGCCAAACTTCACAAGACGTCCTTCTGATCTTTTGTACATTCGTTTCATATCTCTCAATTAGTCATATTAAAGAGGTGGGGCACGTGCCCCATAGACTTCAATACTGTGATGAAGATATCCAGACAAATTGAAAATCTTGAAGCTTGGAGAGTTTACTATCAATGCCGGAAAAAATTGACCAAAATTTGAGATTAGATGTTATGATAAAATTGGCCAAAACTTGCGATCAGACGTTATGATAGAATTATTAACAAAAAAAAATAGATAATTCTATGATAACATATAACAAATATGTAAATAATTTTAAAAGACTAGATATAGGAGAAAAAGAAACTTACCATATATTTGATGAAAAATAAACTAACTTTCAAAATTTACAATTATTAAGGATAAAAAATAATAGTTTAATAAAATAAAATAAAACAAAAAAAAAACTTCAAAACAAAAGATGAATATCTTCTCTATGATTTTTTTTACATCTACGTTAGTTAAACGAGATAATAGAACGGATAAAAGAAATAGAGTACTGGTTTGTCACATAATCATATAATCATTATCACATAACCATTATCATTTGAATCATTTAATATAAGGCTTATTTGTGTGTGTTATGTATGCATGTTATTTGATCCCATACGATTGAAATTCCATGAGTATATAATGAGACAATCAACGATGTATTTATAAATCGTAATATTTGTAAATACTAAGAATTAATTAAAACTCGAAGTTGACATGTTGTTCAAATGTGTAATGTAACTGTTTAATCAACAATGTTCAAATGTAGCTATCTCATATTTGTCTAGCTAAAGCGGCATGTAACTTACAAAACTCGATCCGGGTTAAGCATAACCGATTCGCTTGCTATTTACAGGTTGTTTGGTTCGGTTCAAACGTAACCATTTTGGTTCGGTTGATCACGATTCCTTTTTTAGTTGGCGTTTGAAGTTTTAAAACCTAACTAGTAAAGGAAACAAGAAACCTTATAAATCAAGAAACCACATCTCTTTAATTCAGATGTTCTCTAATCTTTTCAAAGCATCGATGGCTTCTTCGAAGCGTTTGATGTGGTCGTTGCCACTTGAGTTGATAGAAGAGATACTTAAAAGGACTCCTGCTGAATCTGTGTATCGATTCAAGTCGACGTGCAAGGAATGGCACGATCTCATCACCGACAAGAGGTTCATGTACAATCACTTGGATCACTCTCCGGAACGATTCATAAGATTCGATGATAAAAAGACGGTTCAAATCATGGATCCGGTCACCGGAATCCTCACATATTCACCTATCCCAGACGTGTTTTGCTATCCATATTCGATTGCTTCTATGGTTCACTGTGATGGACTAATGCTGTGTATGTGTAATGATTCTAGTTTCCGACAAACAAAACACGCCAATCTCGCGGTTTGGAATCCTGTTACTAGGAAAATCAAATGGATAGAACCGTTGGTCTGTTTCTATGCAACTGACAACTTTGGGATTGGATACGACAACACATGTCGAGATAACTACAAGATCTTGAGGTTTTCTTCTCCTCTCTCTCTTCGTGATCCAGCAAAGTGTGAGATATATGAATTCAAGTCTGACTCGTGGAGAACTCTTGATGGTATCAAGTTGTTCGATTGGGATGTAGATACTCAGTGCAGAGGTGTGTCATTGAAGGGTAATATGTATTGGATTGCTAAACGTGAAGACAAGGAAGACTTTATCCAAAGTTTTGATTTCTCCACGGAAATGTTCAAGTACATATGCGTTTGTCCTCCTTGGTCCGAAACTCAACAGCAGGACATGTTGTTTTGTCATCCTTTTCGACGATTAGGCTGTTTTAATGGAGATAGACTCTCTTTGTTATTACAACATGGTCAAGTAGGGTCAATGCATATTGAGGTGTTGGTGACAAACAAGTTGAGTGACGAGGTTGTTTCGTTTACCAAATATTTTAATGTCACTAGTCCTTATCTTCCGGCGTTGCAGTTCCAGTGTAATATGGCTCCTCCGGGATACTTCGTTGGCAAGCACAGCGATATCATGGCATGGTGCGAGGGAGATGTGGAAGAAGATGATGAGTGGTATACTTGCATCACTCTTTACCAAATTGATCAAGGTGGGATCAGAAAACAAATTGAGACAGGACGACATGAAGAGTCACGGTACAGTAACCCTCCTATTTGTAGCTATGTGTATGTTCCAGGTCTGATTCCACTTCTAGAATAAGAGGATTGTTTCTTGTTCTGTTTTTTTTTAGCAAAACTAAGAGGGTTGTATGTTCCAAGTCTGATTCAACATACATACAAGCACGTAGTTTCTAAGCCTAAACAAGTTTCTAAATTTAGACAAATAATTCATGAAGAATAAGTTTAGAATGTAACCAATGTATTTCCACAATTCCCATCCTCACTTTTGCCTTGATTTGATGATGAAGATCAACACACTTTAATGTCTCTTATAACGCACCAATGACTCTATGAAAATATGACAAAAGTTTCTCTGATTAGTCCTCTTCGAGTCTTCCTCAAGAAGATGATGAGTTAAAACTTGGAAATGACAAGAAAGATGAATATATGCTAAGAGAATCTCTTGTTTGGTTATACATATGACAAGATAGATTGATTTGTTTTTTATTTTTTTTTTCAGGAAGAAAGATTTCGAGTGGAACTATTGCGATAATTGTGGTTCCAATGGTCATAAATATCTTTGTATTTGTTAGTCTCATCATCGTTTTTGCTCGGAGGAGAAAGTCCTACAAGAACACCATCAATGGTAAGTTGTTTGTATGCTTTGCTATCAATGAAGCTTACTGTTGCAGAGTGTATAGTTTTTGATTCACTGAAGTTGGTATGCTGCAGAGTACCCTGTTTCTGATGAACAATCTATGTTGCGGTTTAGTCTTGGTGAGTCTCCGCACTGCATTTTGGTTTACAATAATAGTTAGTGGAATGTTTTAGAAAGATAAAATGTTTCTTGAAACTGGCAGATGAAGATAAGCGTGCACTTCTTACATGGGAGGTGAGGTTCAGAATTATCGAAGGCATTGCTCGAGGTCTTCTTTACCTTCATGAAGATTCTCAGCTGAAGATTATTCACCGAGACTTGAAGTTGAGCAGCATACTTTTAGATGCTGAGATGAACCCTAAATTTTCAGACTTTGGGACAGCCCGGTTGTTCGAAACCGATGTGACTCGAGCTGAAACAAGACGAATTGCTGGAACCCGGTAAGAAATGTTTAAATGCTCTGTTTCTAAAACAGAGTCTTGCAGACATTTACACAATCATGAATTAGTGTTGTTTTTTTCGCATATGTGCAGTGGATACATGGCTCCTGAGTACCTAAAACATGGGCAAATCTCAGCCAAATCTGACGTTTATAGCTTCGGTGCATTGCTTCTAGAGATGAAAGAAACAATAGCTTCGAAGGACAAAGGACTTGCTGCTTTTGTAAGCTTCTTTTCATATCAGTCTTTATACTCTAACTTCAAACCTCTGTGTACAGAAAGTATGAACATGTATTCTCTTTGATGCAGGCATGGAAGAGATGGGTTGAAGGAAAGCCTGAGAGTATAATTGATCCTTTCTTGATAGAGGATCCAAGAAACAAGATCGTCAAGATGATCCAGATTGGTTTGTTTGTTGTGTGTTCAAGAGAATCTAACAAAGAGACCAACCATGAGTTCTGTTATTATTTGGCTTGGCAGTGATACTATCATCATTCCATTACCTAATGCTCATGTTTTCAGTGGAAGTGAATCCCAATCTAAAAGTGGTACAATGTCAATGAGCAATATCTTCACAGAGTTGGGTTGTCGTTGAGTTCATTTAGCCAATTAAAATGTTGTTTTATGCAATGCCAATTTAAAACTAATTATAAAGTGATAATTATGTAAAATATGAATTATTTTGCCAGGATAAATAATATGACAAAAAATATTATTTTACTGCATAATCTAAAGTCTAAGGTTTTTACTTTGTCCGCGGGCTAAACATCCCTTGTTTGAACGTTTTATTCTACCTTGTAAGTGTAACACAACAAATATATGATGAATAAGTTTAGTCAAAAAATAAAATAGATATGATTTTAAAATAAATTATTGCTGAAATTTTTCCCTCAAAGAAAGAAGGTAAGTAATCTATTTAATTTCACCAATATTTTATTTTCAAGAGGGTAAGAAATCTATTCTGACCAGTCTGATAATTTCAACACTATTTTATTTTAAAGAGGCTAAGAAATCTTTTCCGACCAATCAGATAATTTCAGCTATATTTTATTTTAAAGAGGGTAAGAAATCTTTTCCTACCAATTCCTATTTTACAATAAATAGAATAAAAAGTTTTCTTCTTTTGCTAAAAAAATATATTATAAATAAAATTTCTGACTATTTTGATATTTTCTTTGTCTCTTTCCTAAAATTGGAATATATGTAAGCAAACGCAAGTAATATATTTCTTCTAATTCAGGTGCAGATAATTATTACAACGTTAATTTAAAGTATACCAAAGTTGTTCTCCAAAACGTCCTTATTTGTATTCATTTTGTTCCACTCGGCATAACCATTTTGGCGACGTTAATTTGTATGAAGCAAAAATATATTGAGAATTATATAATTAAATTTCTAGATATAAGTTTTATTGATGGAATAAATATTTAATAAAATAATAATCTGTCACCCAAAAGATGGATGATAAATTATTATAACATATTATTCGATATTATTTTCTTATCCCATTATATGAGATAAGCATTACATAAAAATATAGAGAGAAAGCTTAAAACGATAGAAACCAAAGTCCTCTTAATACTTTTTTTTTTTTTTTTTTTTTTGGTAAAAGTCCTCTTAATACTTGAGACCAAGAGTGAGTTCAAGGGACATGTCTTCTTCGCCATTCGCACCATCCTCAGCAACAACAACATCATGGCCTCTGTTTTCATTTAGTCCCACCTGCCATTATATAGACATAAATCTAATTCATATGCATATATATCATATGCATATATAGAATCTGAAAGTTGGTGAAAATATATAAGGTAGGAAATGAAAAAAAAAAAAAAAAAAAAAAAAAAATACCCTGCAAGATTGATAGAGAGACTTGCAAGATACTACCATTGGGTTTACCATCTCAGGACTGTCCAAATTGAAAAACATAGTTAATTAACAAACTACCAAAACAAATAACAACTATGCAAAAATTTAATTTAATATATACAAGAACCTTTCTTCAATTTGGACAACATCACGAATTAGGTTTTCATAGATCTGAACATATTGTTGGGACTGCCTATGATACATTTGCCACATCATTCTCATTTCTGCAAAAACAAATTGGAGCAACTTATTGATAAACAGGGACATAAACTCTCACTACAACTTATAACACTAACATATTTATCAAACTCAAAATTAAAGTGTAAGATAGTTATTTACCCTGTTTAGCTTTTTCTTTCTTCTTGTTCCTATACATCTATTGAAAATATAAACCATATATTGATTAAAAAAATCTTAACACTATACATTGATGCATACATAGATAATGTGTGTATGAATTATAAAGACCTGAAGATGGCTTTTCACTTGTGATAATGTAATGTTATTCGCACCCATAAGGTTCAAAATTTTCTTAGGTTTTGCCACTGCAAATTTAAAGAGAGGATCTAACATAGTGAATCTCAAAACGATTTAAAGAGAAATTTGATCATGCATAAAATATAATAATAATAAAAAAAATGAGAGAGGCGAGGTCTCTTATGGAATAAAAGAAGATTATTGATTTTAGTAAAGAAAATTTTTGTTGCTCTGTTTTTTTTCCAGAGAAATCATCTTTTATTTAGTTATCGATATGGACGGAAAATCTCTTACACTCTTCGCCACCGAGGATTTCAACAACTTGAACGAAAAGGTAGTGACGATCGTCTGTCCATTGCATACGGGGCATGTTTGACCTAATGTAAGATCTAACGATTGAGTCTCTCATCAGTTTTTTCTTTGGTGAAACTTTTAGTTTGATAATTTCTTCGCAGACATGCCGATTATTTATACAAAAATTATAAGATAAAAATATTAATATATATTTCCCAAAAATAACCAAAGAAAAAAAAGATTTAATGCTAGTAAATGTTTTTGTTTATTATCATTACTTACATTATATTTTTGTTTTCTATAATATTTTCAATATTTAAATAGAATTACAACTGTTGGTATCTTTTATATTAGTTATTAATTTAACATCTTAAATTAGCTGTTAATGGTATAGTTTATTATATTAGATACTATATGTAATTTTTAGTTAGGAAAATTTTCTTTAAGACAGGTAATGTTGATTTATGGACCTACACTCTGATTTTTGCTACATATTTAGATATATTATAAATTATAATATTTTTTTAATAAATTAAATTTCAAAAAAGATGATGATTAGGTTTGAGAAATTTAATTTGCAAATTTTTACGCGTGTCAAAAATATTAGGTGTTGTTCAATTACAATAAATGCAGAAACTATGTTGTAAATCTAAAATTATGGATAGTTTTGAAGGAGAATTCATATGCAATACACCATATATAAATTTTAAACATTTTTTAAATACCTATATTTACACTCATAACTCAAATCATAATAATTACCTATAATTTAATCGCTTTCTGTTAAAATGATTTTTAATAAGCTGCAAATTTACAAATCCATTCCCCTGCCAAAGTCATAGAATTATGTTTTTATACAAAACCACAGATAATTACTGAAGTTTAGTTTTGTCAAAACCACAAATCATTGATTTTTTTTTCCACCAAATCCTTGCACTCAAATTTTTAGCAAGAACCTATATAAAAGAATAATTTTAACTTAAAATCAGAGAAATAGTTAAATTATATCTTCCAACTTTTAGTGGAAAGATCGTATAATACCATTTTCTCGTTAAATGCACAAAATCATGAAATTATGTTAAATTTTTGAAATCCGCGATTTCATGAGAAAGTTAGTGTGGATTACCGCAAAAATAAAATAATCACGAGATTACTTATTTCCATCAAAACTTATGATTTGAGCTTATTGGCCTCGTTAAGACCAAAATTACAACGACACAACATATATTCTTACCTCTTTTTCTTAGTCAATTTTAAACACTAGCATTTTCATTGTATAAAATCATATATGACTTATGAAAAGCATCAATGGTAAATGAATGTATGATCGTCTAAACCTTTACTTTTTTTTCCTGCAAATACTATATTTTTGAGTGATTGTTGTTACTAGGGTTTAATTTTCCATCAAATTTCTCAGATTAGTATTCCTTGATAATGTATGTGCACAATTATAATGTTGAAAAATAGTTTTATATTTCTACCGTTTTACGGATTGCTTAAATTTGCTTAGAATTTTTAATTGTTGTTATGGGTCGTTGAGGATGGGTATTTAGAACATTATCAACACCCACTCGAACAGATTTTCCATTGCCGGTAACATAACTCGTTCTCTTCTTTAACAAAGCTATACCCAAAAGTAAAAACGCCCAGCCGTAGGATTGATATTTTTTGTTTGTTTGCATCTAAGATTAACTCATCAGAAAAATATCTAGCTTTTCTCACACGTGCAATCAACGAAGTTAGTGGTGAAGTTTTCTCCAATGTTTAAATCATTAAAACCAAGACAACCTTCTTTTTTGAATATTATAATTTTTTTCTGGCTATCCATGGTATTCTTCTCTTCTGTGAATTTTTTTCCCTTCCAAAACTGCATTAATATAAAGACTCAATTTTTGAAATCACTCCCTTTGGTAATTTGAAAAAAAATACATTGCATAGACTAGCATGCAAGTGCAACATATTTGATTATAACCTCTTTACCTGCCAAAATATTTTGCACTCCAATTTGAAGTATGCTTATTGACTCAATCTATAAAAGGATTGAACATTTTTTTCTTATGTTTCTCATACTCTTCAGATAACTATGATGCAGGATTTAAATCTGTTTAAATAAATAGTTTTCATTAGTTTAGTTATGTTCTACTTTATAAGAATAAAAAGTTTTTTATTTTGCTCTAAAATAATTTTTATTTTTTAAAGTTTTTATAAATTAAACCACTATTATAACTAATGTCAACCAATGATCACAAATTATCTACAAACACATATATTTTCAATAACTATTCCAGTTATTCAAAATGCCTGTAACGCCTAAAACAGTATCCATCGGTTTCCACTACCCAATTACAACTGACAATGCATTTAAACCAGTCATACCTCAAATACCGCATATTTTGATATATTCTTTCTTCACTACATATTTTTATTTTTGTGTGGAAGTCATGTATGTCATTAACTACATAGTCTAAAATATGAAAACTTGTCACATTAAACATGGATTTTTCTTTCTCACTTAAAATCTAACAACACAGCAACTTGCAAAGATTTTCACTAATATACAAGAATTTACTTATTTATTTCTTATGTATTGTCTTATTAATATTTTAGATACATACATCTACAAACATATATACTTCCACCAGTTTCCACAAACAAAAATTTGAAGTCTTGTCATGCTTTGAGACCAAGAGTGAGCTCAAGAGACAATTCTTCTTCATTTTTCGAAGCTTTTATCGAGTTTAGTGACAAAGTAACATCATTGTCATCATCAACATCACCATATTCATCAACAACATTACCATCATCATCAATAGCAGCAACAACATCACCATTTTCATCATCATCTCTAGTTTTATTTAGTTGGGCCTGTTATAAACAAAATTATTCTGATTTTACATGTATATTGTGAGAAATAAGAAACAACACATGGATGATAATATAAGATCAAAGTCCTTCTCATGTTTTACACTTCTATATCGTATATTGCTAAATTTCATATGCATATATTAACAAATTTTATATCTGAATTCACCATTCAGAAATCTTTAACATATATAGTGACATAAATGCATATAAAAAGGATAATTACCGTTGATGATTCATAGAGAGACTTGCATGTAAAATAGTCACTTGGTACTTCCTGATCAGTTTCATTACTTGATTCTCCAAATGTTATAATTTTTTCATACATTTCCTCTTCTTCCCTACAAGAAGATATATAAGAAAATTACTAAAAATATATATATTAATCTATACACTAACAACTAGACAAACCTTTGTTGATTTTGGAAAAAGTTCGCATTGCCTCGAAGGCGTTGGTAGTTATGAAGGTACTGTTGAAATTGCCACCAAGTTACTTGTCCTGTCACTCTAACACTTCTTCTTGCTAATATCTCTTCTGTCAAAGAATTGCATGTGTATGTTCACACATTACCAATTAATACATAAATATTTAGAAGATGTAAAATGATATCTACCTTGCATAGATTCTTCCAGCTTCATGCTCCGATACATCTATTAGGAGTTGAAAGATATATGAAAATATGATAATTATCTATAAATTCACATATATAAATACATATATGTTTGATAAATTAGGACCTGGAGATGACTCTTGACATGTGATATTGTGAGTCCTTTTACATCCATCAACTGCAAAACCATCTTAGGGGTTGCTCCTGCAAAATTTTCAAGGATAATTTTTACTGTAATAATTAAGTAAAAAAGTTATAAAACTTCTAAAGAACAGAGAAGACGATGTGAAATTGTAAAAAAAAAGTTTCACTTACTATTTTCTCCACCAAGTTGTTCAACAGCTTGAACAAAAGAGTTGTGAAGATCGGAGTTCCATCGCAACCTTGGCACTTTTGATCTAACATAAGATCTAACGATCGGAGTTTTCATCTTTCTTTGTTTTCTTGTTGATGAAACTGACGTTTTGGTTTTGATGTTGTTTTGGGGAGATTTTACAAACCAAAGGGATATATAGATGAAGACAACTAACAGAGACTTCTATATATATTGTCAAATTGGCAAAAAGTTTTTATTGACCTTGTCTATTACCTTCTTGTCTTGATGAATTTATATTCTACGTTTAAATTCATTTTGTCAGAAAACAAAAAACGAAACATAAAATAATATGAAATAGAAACCCTAAAGAAAGGTGATTAAATGCTTTTATGTAGTTTGTCATTTTATGCTGCTTTTCTGCTTCTTGATTTATTTGTCCAATTGTGACCATTTCGAAGAATACCAATCTGTAATACCAATTTTTATTCTTTTCATATATACTAATGGAATATATATATATATATATATATATATATATATATATATATATATATTATATATATATATATATATTATATATATATATGTATTAAAAAAATGAAGTTAGACTAATCATATGACCTACAAGCTTCATGTAGCATATATATAATCATAATTTTGACCTGATAAAAATAATTTAAATAACTTGACTACTATAGCATTATAACATACTAACTTTATAAGTTTGATTAGGATCGTAATTACTTAAAGTTGTGCACTATGTAAAACCAAGATTGTCACAAATTAAAGTACTATTTGTGTAGTCTTGCTCAGGTTTTCTAATAAACTTATATTAAAAAATTGAAGAATTAATTTGGAAAACACAAGTTCAGCAATAACTTTTTGTATTCCTAATATTTTAAACGCAATAGTTTTTTTCCGAAAATAGTTCTCTAGATTCAAATACTGAATCAAATTCTACAAACATGTTTAAACAACACGTCAAAAACTCAAAATGATATTTTACTAGATGTATATATCCACTTGGAAAATATAAATGGTATATATGCAAGTATTATTTTTGAGATTAACGTGAATATGAAAATATTTTATTTCTAATCTGAGCGTTCGAATATTTTATAAAATTTAAAAAGTGACGGAATTTCAGGTTTTGGCATAAATTGTTTTGTTGAAGTTTTTCAATTAGTTTGATGCCATGACAAATTATTGGTCAAAAGACTGGAAACAATTAATGTTGAAATTTCTAACTTTTCTTTTATTTTCCAAATATAATAATAAAACTATGCATTAAACTCATTTACTAGAAAATTAAGTCTTTGAATAAAGGTTCTTTTC